GGAAGTGGTTGAGTCCCCATCCCTGAGGGTATTTAAAAGACATGTAGGTGTGGCACTGAGGGACATGGTTTAGTGGTGGACTTGGCAGTGTTAGGTTAGTAGTTGGACTCAATGATCTTAAAGGTCTTTTCCAATCTAAACGATTCTATGATTCTGTGATTTTAACACTTTACTGGCCATTTTGTTCATTTAGTTTTGCAATTTTTATATAGTCCCTTCAGTTTCTTTGAGCCTCCCACAAAGAAGAGTTCTGGCATGAGGGTCTCTCCAGTTCCTTTCACTGAACACCAGTGGAAAGTGTTAAATTAGCTTGTCTGCAGGGGTCTTTTCTTCTGTGAGTACTCCTTTATACCTTCATTACCAGTTGGCTCTACAGACTCCCTGGCAGGCTTTCTTGTTCCTCATGTCTTTGAAGGAATATTTATGATTAGTTTGCTGGTTGTTCCTCAAGCTAGTTTTGGGGTTTATGTTTAATATGCCAGAATTTATGATCCTTTCTATTTTCTTCATCTGTACATTTCTTGTGATATCCACTTTTGTATTCTATGGTCATGCTGGTTTTCTGTTGCCATTACCTAAGTCTCATAAATGGTATGCGCTGGCCTTGTGCTTACTACGTATTATTTTTAAGTATTTTTCACAGTACCTGTAGGGATTGAATTTTTGTCCTTTTGATATCTTTATTTAAAAATGTTCTCATTTTTATGTATGCTTCCAAATGTATTGTTCACCAAAAGCAAAATTTTCATAACTATCCTATTGTACCTGTCAGAACTTGTGTGCAAAACAGGTAGTTAGAAATTTGTGAGATTTATACTTCCAAAACCAACATAAGTGCACAAAGAGTACACAAATTACATAGGCACAGTATCATAGAAAGTTTTAAAGCTATCATGTCGTATTTCAGAAATGTGGCTACAAATTTGGCTGGGCAGTCTGGTGGGTTTTTTCAGTGGTATTGGCAGACTACTCAAGGTGAGTCCGGGGGGCATCAGAAGTACTATATAGCGTACTCTGTAGAAGAGAAACTTGTTATGGTCCTTTTCCTCATGATACTTGAATCTCCTCTTTTGGGCTAAATGCGTATGTCCATTGAAGTGAACAAAGGAGATTCTTCTTTTACTTCAGTATAAATTGGTCAGTTACTAGAACTTTGATCCTTCAAAGTGGGATTTATTATTTTAGTGTGTATTTTTGAATAAGCTGGTTCTAATTAACCTAGATGTAAATATCTGATCTTCCATTTTTGAAAGGTCCTCTGTACAGCAGGAGTGGAAGCTGTGCTTCATTTTGAGAAATGTTGAGATAAATTTAGCTTGGAAAGATTAGTTATTGCTCATACAGCAGCAGCTTCAGATGCTGGAAGTTATCCTTTTATACATATCCAAGAAACTAATCAGTCTAGTTCCTTGCATATCAGCATAGTTAAATCAACTTATACCAACTGAATATCTGTCCTGTCATGTATTAAATAATTTCATTTCTGATAAATAAACTACAAATTATATATTTAACTTTTCTTTACTTTTCTGAAGCATTCTTAATGAGCTCAGTAAGTACAGGTTGTTACAACTGATACTCATGCATCTTAGATTTACTTAAAATAGACATCTTTTTCAAGGCAAACTCATTTGGCTGTCTTGTGATATGCTTGAATATTTTTTTTTTTCATATTTCAGGTAAATATGCTGAAGATATATTTGGGGAACTTTTCAATGAAGCACACAGTTTCTCATTTAGAGTCAACTCCTTACAAGAACGTGTAGATCGCTTATCTGTCAGTGTTACACAACTCGATCCAAAGGAAGAGGAATGTAAGTTAACTCCTGCATTGAAGATTTCTTATTTTGTCACCCAGGCACCACTGATACATGAAATGGAAATAATAATAGATTAAATTATATTTATAAGAACACAGAGCAAAGCATCATGAGAAAGATGTCCGTTTCTATTTCTGCTACAGGTTTCTTTTATAGCCTTGAGCAGTTTTCTGAGCTCAACATTTTCATGGTTACTGAACAGTACTGTTACCAATGAATTTACATTAAAACTGCTACAGGAGTATAATACAGTGGTATTATGTATTAGTGTTAATAATATTAATAATGCTGTATATTAGGTGAATAATGCTTGGAGAGAAGTCATCTCTTTTTTTAAGCTTCCTACTAATTCCCATAGGATGTAACCATTTGTCTAAGTAGGACTTTTGCATTAACTTGTTACTGTCTTTCTGTATGAAGTTACAGTTGTATAGCTCAATTTATTGATGCTATATATCCCCTTGGATTCTTTGTAAATAACTTTAAGTATTATAAATATTGTTTAGCACTGAGAACACAAGTACTTCCAAAAGTCAGTAGGATATGGCTCGTGCCTATAAGATAGAATTTGTATGGGATTTAAATAATGCATAGGCTTTGTGATGACTACAGGACTATTGACCGCCTAATATGCAAATGCCATGAAGCTTTTTTGCCTTCCTGGCTATCTGTTGGTTACAGGTGGAACTATGAAAGGTCTTGTAACCCCAAACAGTTCTAGGGTGTTCTAGACTATATGGCTAAGACCTTGAAAGTAGAGCAACATCCTATCATGAAAAATAACTTCAGATTTCTTGTGGGATCCAATTTTAAAGTATAGAAAGCTATTTCAGTTAGTACTGTATAATAGTTGTGTGTCATTCAGGAAGAATGAAGTGTCAAACCAGGAGCATGGTCTTCAGGCTGTGTTTAGTTACCAATGTTGAAATTTCACTAATAGCAAAATTAAGCTAAGGAAGTTCTGATTCTGTATGTTGTGTGGCATTAATTTTAGAGCAGGTTTCGAAAGACAACTATTCATAGCTAGTAGCAAATTTGCCACAAAATATAGTGACTTGCTTAGGGGAATTCTTACGTTAATGGTATTTTCCAAGTCTCTTGACAACTAGGCATAAATCATACATGTACACCTCTTTTTCCAGTAAAATACCATGTTTACTAGGATTGGATAATGACAAAAATCCTTCCTGTGTACAGTAACAAATTGTCAGCAATGGTAATCTTGTAAGAGCTGTAATACTGCAGAGTGCTAATGTCATTTCTGCGTTTACCCTTGACAGCCTAGTTTTTTGTTTAAATCAGAGTGGGATATATGTTGATATGGCATATTTAGTATGGCAGCCATTCACATTTCAGGAAAATGGAGAGACCATTTTAAGTCATCAAGTTAAAGCATCTAAGGACGTTACAGGATAGCAAGATGGAAAATTGTACTTTCCTGTTTAAATGGCCTTTGACAGTTTTGGCTGTAGGTTTCAGTACTAAGTATGCATAACTATTTGATGTTAGAGAATTGCTAGAAATATTTTTAAATAGTATGTAGTCCCAAATGCACCAGATCAATAACTTTTCACAGTACTGTGTATACTGTAGCATTTGCTAAACTGTATAGCTAAAGAAAGGGACAGACATCACGATTAAAGAAAACAAGGCTGAAAAGAGGTCTACTTGATCAAGTCCAGAGTGGCTAAGTGTGACTCGAATCTGATACCCTGGATTTGTCTCTCACACCATAGAATAGCAGTGACTGCTAGTACTTCAGAGGAACACATGCAGTCCTCAGTGTCAGGAACTGTTAAATGACTATTTTTATTAACCTAAGAATATCCAGTCCTTGTGCCATACCCAGTGTTCCTTATTGACAAATGTCTGCCCAGAATGAGTCACCAGATGGTGACAAAGGAGATGAGAGGAAATTCGATTTCCTTAAAAATTAGGCATCAGGAAACTGTTTCTCCTTCAGTATCCTATTTTGGGCTTGAAATTTAGAAGCTCATCACAAATGAGTCTTGTTTTAGTCCTGATCAGGGCTAATATACCTGGAGGATATACACATGAAGGTGTGGAAAAAACATTTGGATTTACCTTTCTTGCCTTTCTTAACCCTCTATGCAAGAATTAAGCAAATTTCAGTACTGCTGTTCAGCTAACAGCATGTGTAAAACGGGCTATACTTGTAAAATGAGTCTCATTCGCTAGTTCTTTGCCAGCAGGCAGTAATAGAAGATTTAATGTGTTCCTTTGGGCCCATGCTATTACACAAGAGGAAGAAATTAAGATTCATTTAAAGCTAAGTGGCATGAACGAAAACAGCCCAAGTCAGATTCATTGAATGAGGTGCAGATACTTGACAAGATGTTTCTGGTAGAGTCAAAGTAATAAAAAGCTCTGAATTTTTTGAATAGTCTGTGTGTTTTCTCATTTTGAATTATTACAATATCTCTGTGAAAGAACAAAACCATATGAAACCAAGGTTAGGATTGTATCCTGAAGGAACTAACTCCTGGTGCGCAATCTTTCATGGAAGAATTACAATGAACTTGGTTTGAATTATTGCACTGTTTTCAAGTTCTTGATTTCACAGAATTATTAATTTTATATTGTAATCAGGGTTTTTTTACATACTTTATTCTTTTTACATACATGTGTTTTTTTTTCCTTTCAGAAGAGACACTAAACTTTATTTTAATTGTACAGGAAAATAGCCTATAGGTATTCAAGAGTTATCATATCTGGGGTTTTTTTTAGGTTTGGGAAAACACATTCTTGCTATGGTGGGTGAACTCAGGTTGATGGTTTCAGTAGCTCTGCAATATAAGATATCCTCATAGGTCAGAAAATAAAGCCCAAGAGTATAGTTTCTTTGCAAGCATTTTTATTTTCAGTATTTCCTTTATAAATAACATTACTAACTCGCTCCATATATATGCAATATTTGTAAGTATAATAACAGATTTTTGTTAATTTACCACATTTTTGTGAATTTGTGCCATTAAGCTTGAAGTACTACTATGAGTAAATAATTTAATATCTGTAGAAATCTGACAGTTTTTAAAAGAATATTCATTCTAGCTTTTACGTTGTTCTTTTTTGAAATGCTGATACGCAGTATAGCTCTGATGTACATTAGTATTAGAAACTAGTTGTGTATCACTCAGAAATAAACAGTATCATGGCAGAAGGAGAATTTGTGAACTAAGAGTTTATCTGCATACTTTGGTATTAATTTACTGGTTCTTTAATATGAACTGCCTAATTCTATTTAAATCTCAGACTGGAGGGGATTTTAGTCTCAAAGGCAGTGTATCAGATTCTTGATTCATACAGCATATCTGTTAAAACTGACAAGCAACTTAAAAAACATAATGGCAGAAGTGCGATGGGTGAGCAGCCTGGCGTACTTCAGGAAAGGAATCAAACAATGTTGTGAATTGTATTTCAGTAGGTTTCTGGCTTTGAATACATGTGCTTGGTTTTTTCCTAAACATTCTAGAAATACTGCCCTGTCATAGAAAGGATAGTAGTTCAGAAGTTTTGCTGGATTGTTGCTAAGGAGAGATTTGTGGTTTTGCTATAGGCAAAAAAGGTGTCATCTGGTGGGGAGAAACCTAAAAAGCTTGACAGCTTATTGTGGTCTGTATACTCCTGAAAATAGGAGACTGTCAACTTTCAAATCAGGATACTCAGCCCATTGTGAGACTTAGAAGAAAGGGTGGTATATCTCATTTTAAGGGGCAGCTCACTTACCGTCTCTAGCCTCTGAAGAGGAACTTGGTGACTTGAGTATAAATGTGATCAAAGTTAAAAACACGGAGCACATGAAAATTGAGTCGTGACCTCCAAGTGTAATATGTTAATGTGGAGAATACCACTACTGTCAAGTCATTCATAAGAATTTTTACCCCCAAAGTCAAATAAAGAAAAAGACTGTTGAATTAAATCATATAGCAGGTCACTTTTCCTGCCATATCTCCGCTTAATTGAATGTTGGATTTGAGGGCATCTCCCTCTCAAAGATCTGGGCAGATGGGCTGAGCTCCAACTGTTCTCCATGCTTTTCTTCCAATTTTCTTAACCCATAAATTGAACTGAGGGCTATTTAGTAAGTAAATCAGTTTTAAATTAGTTGGCCAAGGCTTTATAGTTCAGTGGTAAAGCCATGATATTGCATAATTAGTATTTTGTATATAAAAAGTGGGATCTGGACAAAATGTCATTTGCTAAATAATGTGGTGGTTTTGTTGAGACTGACCAGCAGATTCACTGCTTGATGCAGCTGGGTGATTCACGTCTTCCCCAATGGGCTGCTCAGGGCTCCCTGGTTCTACATGCTGCATTTAAAGCAGTTTCTCAGTTCTCTTAAACTGATTGCTCTAACATTTACATCTTCTTTTTGTTTACCTGTAGTAGTTAAGCTACATACATTCCCTATCCAAAGAGTGCTTGAGCTGTTTTGGATTTTTTTAAATCAATATTTCAGAAAATTTGAATTTCTTGTGTTAGGGACAAGCCCAAAGGAGAGTAGTTTCTGTTCTGTGGAAGTGGTCTCTCTGCTTAGAAACTATTAAAACTGCAGTGACCAGTCAGAATTATTATGATGGCAGAGAAAGCTAACATGTGTGCGATTCTAGGCATTGCTGAAGTGGATAATCATTAAAAAAAATATATATATATACACACACATAAAGTAGAAATCAGACTTCAGGATTGCGGCGTCTAATATATATGTACACACATAAAGTAGAAATCAGACTTCAGGATTGCGGCGTCTTTAGGGACCAAATCACACAAATCTTTATCTGAAGAGGATTTTTACCACCCTCACCCCCCTCAATTAATTACCTTTAACTGGGAATCTTATGACTAAGTTGTTCATTCGATATTGTCTGTCTGTCTTCCCTGCACTTTTCAAATCACTGGGTAGGATTTTGAACAGAGAAACGGGATTGTGGGCAACTGAGCCCATTGATTTGTATATAATTTCCCATAGTCATTCAGTTCTGCAAGGAGTCATAGCTGTGGCATTCAAGAGTTCACAATCTTAAAAGTTGTCAGCATGGAATTCCACAGAAAGTGTTGAGAGAGCAAGCTTTTAAAAGGAATATATATTATTTATTTATTTACCACCTTTAGGAGAACAGTAGGTTTTTGCCTAGAACTGCTTCATAAATTGTACATTGCAGAGAGTTTAAAAGAATTAAAAAATCTGGTAGCAAGGCTTTTTTTCTTCTGGTGAGGTAAAATAAAATGTAGCATTTAATATCTTTGAAATGTAAAAGTAGCTACTTTTTATTAGTGCACTGAAGTGCTCCATACCTGACTTTTACTACAAATTGGGGATTGCAGTTTAATGAGAGGAAGTAAAACTTTATTATGTATATATATTACTGATGTGTTCTTTTATTTATTTTGTTGTTCAGCCCAGAAGAAACCCAGTTATTGTATCTCATTAGAGTGCGATTTAAATACCCTTTTTTTGCCAGTTCATTGCTGGTTATGAATGAAAATGGACTGGCATCTCTTTTTCAAAACCAAATGTACAAAAGGTTGGTAGTTTAGCTTTCTGACAGAGATAATTTTTAATTATGTGGAATATATTGTGGTGTACAGAAAGTTAGACTGGCTGATATAACAGGTCTTTTCGTACCATCCAAACAACAGACACAGTAAAGATAAACTGGCATTTGTTCAGATTGTTGAATGAATGTTTTAACTTAAATTGTGAACATCTCAATGTTTAAGGAAATTATTTAAGACCCCATTTTTTGTTCATTGCAGTAAACTCAAGTGTTGTAGCAGATGGACTTTCAGGAAGATGTATCCATATGAAATTTAGGATCTTGGGCTACACGAACGTTCTGGTGCTAGTTAGGAATTAGGCAACTGGAAGCTTAAATTTATCAGCATCAAGTCAAATGCCTGCAGCATTTCCAACTCCTCCTTCAGTGTCTCGTCTCTTCTCACACCTGAATTCATACGCCCAATTTGTTTGACCTGTCCTCTTGCTGTGCCAGGTTGTCAAGCAGCCAAAGCTAAGTGGCCGGATGGCCAGCGAGGTTTTCGTGTATTCTCCCCCCTGAGGTGGCAAGCCACGCAGGGCTTCTGTTTCTTAGCCAGCTGGCAAGCTGCACAAACGGCTTTGTAAGCCAAACCGTGCACAGCCCAGGGTTAGGCTGTGCTTGCAACGCAGGATTTACCTGATCCCTGTCTGTAGGCCAGTTGAATCAGTGTCATGACTCTCAGCATTTTGTGTGCCACGTCCTTTCATTTCCTTAGTAATGTTGCCCTAATTATAGTTGGTTGTTTTGAATAATGGCATGCTTTTCAGTGAATGCTGGTCATTGGGTATCAGCGCAGGAAAAGCTGTTAGCTGTTTGAAATTCCATAGTGTACGTTTTTCTATGAAGACCTTTGCTATGTAGCTTAGTTTTAGAGGGAACGTAATCGACACTTATTGTTGGGGATTGATTGATTATCCTCAGGTGTGTTATCCCCTTGTACATGTTTACAAAAAGTGGAGATTTAAAGAAGAAAACAGAGATTATGAATTGGACTGGCTGTATTCTATTTGCTCAACGAAGAGGTTGAGAAACGCTAATAAAGAGTTTATAGAACAATGTACATCCCAATAATATGGTGACACATGCTCTGTGAGAGTTTTAGTATTAAAACAAAGAACTGTATTTATTGGAATAAATTAATTTACTTCATTGCCTTTAGAATGTACACAGGTTCAAAGAGAAGTATACTAACTTTTTTTTTTGTTGGCATAGTCTCCAGTAAGTGACAGACAGTTTAAAGACTTCCAGGATTGCCAAGCATCTCTGAACAAGTACATTTGGTGAGATTTGTAAAACCAACAAGCCAAAGGAAAAACAGCTGAATCTAAGACTAGGTTTTTAGATGAGGTAAACCTCAGTTCTTCTAATTGTGAACTTTTGCCAGCAAATAACAACCTGTACTTCATGACAGGCACAAAATATATATGGTTATTTATGAGTGCAAAAATACCTGCAGAAATTGAGACTCCTAGCTGACATTCATACATTATAATACTTCTTTCACACACTTAAAAAGGCTTCTGAGCAGCTAATTAAAGGTATTAAAAAGAATAAAAGACAGAGTAATGAAACAGAACCTCAGGGTAAAAAGGAGAAAACTTCTCCAGGAACACACAGCCTTGCCAACTGTAATAAACTTCAAAAGCCAAACTGAAAATCAAATAAATCCTATCTTTAGCCTCACAAAGGATGGTGCCAATACGCTTAGGTAAGAAGATAGAACATTCCAGGAATTGCAAGTCCTCTGGAAAAAATCCTGCCTTCTGCCCCTTTGTGATCATACAGTAGAAATCCAGCTCTGTGTATGTGCGTGTGTACGTATGTATGTATGTGTACACTTGTATGTATTACAGGAACCAGAGTAAAATGCAGCTTAAACAGATGGACTCTTTTAAAAAATTGTTGCCAAAGGCCCCAGTGATGCGGGGGGGTGTGTGTGTGTGTCCTCTTGTCTTGAGTAAAGGGGCACTACTGTCAACCTGTTTGTATAAAATAAACAATTATTTATAGATAAAATGCATGTGCTGAAAATACTCTCTTTGCTAGTATGTCTTAAAACTGTTTTCAGTATTGTTTGTGATTTATTAAAAAAACCCCCAAACCAATGAAAAGGGCTGCTGCTTTATCTAGTGAAAGTCTAACACTGGCCGCAAAGTTAGTCTTGAGACGTACCTGGGCTCCACAGATGTAGTAACTGGCGATCGGGGAGGGAGAGAAATATGAGACTGCACAAGTACACTGTTTCCAGAATTAAAAGTGCAAGTTTCATCAGTTGCGGTCACTTTTCCATTGATCTTTTTCTAAATTTTAATGATTGTGAAATAGAAAAAGATATTTGGGCTTTAACAGCAGTAAGTCAATAGATTTCAAATCACTGTTTAATCTATTGTGTTTACCTAGTGTTATTTTCCTTTGAATCTTACATAAAGATAATTGATTATTCCTAACTACTGTGCTTAAAAACTGAAGGTGTCTCACCTGAATTAAACAGTCTGATTAAAAACAACATTTGACTCATTTCATGTGTTGAAGCATAGTATCACCTCCCGCTAAAACTCACTGATAGCAGTCACATAAGCTCAAGTGATGATTTGCTGGTTTGACATCTCAGTGGGCCTTCAGTGGGACTGCTACCTACGTGCAAGGAATGCAAAGTTTGGCTTGCTCATAGTATAAAGGCAAAATCTATACCTCAAGATAGACAGTGTTTTTTTAGTACCAAAAGGATTGTGAAATGGAGTTGGTAAATATTATTAGGTACTTCTGAACTACAGAATGATATAGCTACAGTAAGCAATTTATTGGACTACTTTGGAGAGGCAGACTTCTGATACCTATCCAGGTGAGCAAAAATTTCCTGTGAAGCTAAATAGAGGATAATGTACTAGAACATCACAAGCATGTTTTTCACATAATCTGACAATATCTTGCTGTGGCAGTAGTGCTAGATGAATTTATATTTCCTGTAAAATACATAAGATACTAGTATTAATGCTTAATATTTATATTCTAAGCAGCATTAAGCAATTGCAGATTAAGCCAAATAAACTTATCTTTGGTGTTTTCTTTAAATGGCAATATCCCCTTTCAGTGTCACTGCAGGACATTACAATGCGGAAAGCTTTCCGGAGTTCCACAATTCAAGATCAGCAGCTGTTTGACCGCAAAACTCTGCCTATTCCTTTGCAAGAAACTTACGATATTTGCGAACAGCCTCCTCCACTTAACATTCTCACCCCTTACAGGTTAGTAAAATAAAATTAATCAAAACCAATTTCTAGCTTATTTTATGTAATAGAGATGCTATATCCAGGCACCTTGCTCATGTTGAGTAGCACTTGAGTACTTAAGGAGCCACACTAGAAAACTGTGAAGCTGCTGGAGGAATACAGGCAGCAGAAGATATTATAAGCATTAAAACTTTACTCCACTTTACTCAAATTTTACCCAGTATAACAGTGGTAAGAAAAAGCCATTTTTATAATCTGTATTTATTAAACTGTGTAATGCTCTTGGATGCAAAGAAAAAAAGCAGTAGAAAGTAGAGGAGATAAGTATGTAGAAAGAAATGTCTTTAATGGAAATGAACGTTGTTTGCTGTCCCGAAGTCAGTTTGAATCAGTAGTTGAACACGAGCAGCCACACAAATTTGCTCATTATTTTAAGAGCAAGATTTCAGTCAGTGGAATGGGAGTCCTCTGATTTATGATACTCTTTTTTTGTCTACAGCTTGCATTAAAGTTACTTTTCTAAAATCAGGATCTTGAATACAAGGAAAGATAGTAAAGAATGATGCCACAGGAGGTCAATGTTCATCTTTTTAATGTTCTTCAGTAAAATATCTCAGGGTCTGACATACTAGGTATTCCTTAATATGCCTTTCCTTTGCCTTAATATTTGGATTCATGTGTTGTCAAATAAATAGTATGCCCTGTTTGTGTCATCGTATTTCAGGGATGATGGAAAAGAGGGTTTGAAGTTTTATACCAATCCTTCATACTTCTTTGATCTGTGGAAGGAAAAGATGTTGCAGGACACTGAGGACAAAAGAAAAGAAAAGAGGAAGCAGAAGGTATATATGTTAGCTTTATACAGCTTCTGGTGTTTTTTTCCTGGAAAGGGTTTACTTGCAGATACGGTACTTTTTTTGGTTATGCAATTAATAACAATCCAAACTTTACAGAATCATCTTCATTCAACTAAAACTACTTGTATTCATTCAATTCCATCAACTTTAACAAATAAATATTTAATAATAATA